ATTCGCCAATTCGAATACATACGTGCTGGTTGTTACCCTTAGCTGAATTCTGGATTTCTAGTTCGTCTGGTTATGCCGATATACGTAGGATACTTAATTCTCACAAATCAATACCTCTCATATGACTGCATTTTACATGGTCGCTGGATTGCGCTTTAGGTACCACTGATTTATGTTAACAACACTAGCATCGCATGCATTTCGAAACCAGAAATTACATAATGAAACGTACTATACTTTACGCAAATACGGTATACTAAACAGTCACTGAACAAGGTGATTGTTAAACACAAGTCGGTAGAAATGGTAAGCCTTCAAGAAAGGGTGGATTTTTGCAGGCAAGATACCACAAAACCGATTCATTTTTGTGGGTTTATTACTCTGCATAGAAACTAACAATATATATGGTGATTTAGTTTCATATATTTTTCCAACTTCGCTAAAACCAAATAGCCAATTTCGGTGTTAGAGTCACATAACCTATGATGGATTCCACGAGCTCATAACTTCAATGACTTTCTCCACAAATTTGTCTCAACCAAACCACTGGGCATAAACTTGGGAACATCCTTGTGGAAATGCGTGACTATAGGCTGTTTTACTGGATGAAAATAAACCGCTCCGGCACATCCAACTGTTCAGCCCTTTTGTATAAAACATCATGTTTTGATTCATTTTTCTATCAGATTGATTCCAGTGGCATGCCTTCATAACTACACAGCGATGAGTGGTCTCTCTACCAACCAGCCCTACAGAAAGAGCACCCACTAGCGATGGTAAAAACCGTGTGTTTCAGAGCTTTTGAAAGTATGTTAACGTAGAATCTAAGGTGTTAAATTTCGTAAAATCAACATCTGATTGCACCCAGCTTGGTGCCAAATAAAATCACACATAATCGGAGGTAAGGAACAAGTTGAAAAATAGGGCTATTCTCTAGATGCTCTGCCAATCAGCTATCCCTATTTCCTGTCTGGTACGCTGTGAAACCTCTGCCCCTGAAACCTATGCCCCAAATGAGGAATCAGGGTAACATCCCACGAAATCCGATAACAGAAAATAGTCACTGGTTTTCTTGTTTGAGCCGATGGATCCACATTTTTACTAGCCTCAGTAAATTATTTCAAAATGTTTTTGGTTTTTTCGTGTGTGCATTACTCACAGCTAACATGCCATCAAGAAAACCTCTGTACGATTTTCAGTGAAACGAAAGAAACTGGAATACGGGAGAAAGTCTAACTCAAAATTGTTTCAGCGCATGTAAAAGCCGGTGTTCAATTTTTATGCAGACATTTACAGATACAACCACGTTTCGGAAGTTTCCCGAATGTGCCGTATATTCTCTACGTCTAATGCACTTTGCCTGGTAGTATTCGTGATCACCCATGCACAGGCGCTTTCTTTGCAAAGCTGGAAATCTTTTGAACCGCATGTTTTACAAATTTCGCTGACTACACTCCAAACATCCCTCTTTAATTTGAGAGCGCTGTGGTTACGGCATGGTTGAAGTGCAAACTCGTGCAATGTGCGTCGAAATCCCATCACTGACGCATAACTGCGAACAACGAAAAACGTTTTGGTTTGACTCATAAAGTCTACGGCCTGTCCCGTGTCGAAACAAACTGGAGTACAACATTGAGTGACCCACGATTAGGTGGAGGTAACTCACGCGTAACCCTTCTCATATATAGTTTCACATGATACAATGGTAAAACCAAACGCTTCTAGTTAGTGTTGAGGTTAGTTATACAACTCTTAGAGAACCCCGAGGAACGACAATATCATTCCAGGACGGTGGGTTTGGGATGAAAATCAATAAAGAATATTATTGACTGCGAACCAGGGAGCTGGCTGACTTTGTTAGTGCAATATTGTTGTTGGGTACAAGTGATGTGACCTTCGCAGAAATACTAAGATGATGCGTAGGATAGAGCAGTATGCCGTTCGGCGGAAAAGGTTAGTATAGTTCTCGCGGTATCAAACGGTGCAGCCTAAAAACTATGGCTCATTGCTTAAGTTCAGCCGAAACGACGGCATATCAATCATCAAGATTTTTAGACGGGTCCCATGGTGGTTGAAATTTCCTCAGTACTGGCAGTTCAGCCGGCTAAAATTTTCCGTAATATAGATAAAGGTATCATGTGGACGGTGAAAACGGAAAAAAATAAAGACTGAATGGCCGGATTTGTAGTCCTCCATCGTCGGCGGTCGAATGGAGTCATTTAAGGACAATTTTATCGAGCTGACTTCTCAGTACCTAAAGATTTCCAAAAGTGGGAGACAGAGAACTAGAACTCGAGCAAAAACGAGGAAGTTATAAAACCAGTCACAAAATCCCCTTGGTTCAAAATCCATATTGCGAAAAACAGCCCAGATATCGGGTTTCTTCATAAAGATACTGTGTTCATCAAATTTTGACTGTGATCAGTGGATCACAATAAATATTACAATGTTGAAGACCTCCCGGCAATTTCCAAGGGAGTTGGAGAATACTTGCAGTTGTCCCGATCATCTGCCGACGTAGCGCTCCTACGGCCACCTACGAAAAATGTACACCAGATCCAAGCGGCGCAGATGGGATCCGATGTGTAGACGGGCGGTTTTTGCTTTTGCTTCTTAAGCTGCATTGAAAGTGTCCAAGGAGACACTGGGGTTCGGTAACTTTTGGGGTCTTTTTGAGAACAATTCGATTCCCAACCCATGGAATGGAAACTGAGGGAAGTAATCTACAGAGTCTAAGACGAGCCGGAAACTCCCAAAAAGGCTGCATCTCCAATGTCTGTGGGCCAGATATCGGGTGAGTCGAGATGACCAATGAAAGGGAGTGCGCCACATTCAGGCTTACAAATGGCAATATACAAGTTGTGGCCATCGCCCATGAAGCATTCATATCTGTGCGCAAATACACAAGGTGCTGTAAATAATGAGAGTTGGCGTCTTCAAAGAAGAGGTGATCGAAGTCCTATACGCGAACGAACTCTGCCTCATTTCAGAGAATAACTCCTCGTCAGGTCTTGATGACTCCAACAGTTGCAATCTGCAAATCAGTGAGTCCGAGAATGTGAAGAATTCAGTGTCAATCGATAACATCAAACCGACTGAGCTCTTTGTCTTCTGAGAGTACCCAGGGGAGTTTGTCTTGGAGACTGTAGGTGGTAACGTAGTCCACGGTTGCCTCTTCAGCAGCTAGTTGGATCTGGCTCTGGCCCGCGGAGGTACTCCCAGAGAGATCCCAGTGACGTGCGTGGGCAGGCGAACATTTTATTAGGATAATGCACCACTGATGCGGCGACACAAAACATATCCCATGTAGGTAGCGTAATTTAGTGGAGTGGATTAAACAGCCCAGAGTGTGATTTATCGTTGAGATCGATCAGCGGCGACAAAAGAGAGAAAGTCGGATGAGGAGCTGGAGGATTAAGCGGGACATGCTTGCTTTCGCCATCAGGCAACAGTCGATGTTCGGCGTTATACAGGAGGCCAGATGGCTTGAGGAAGGGGGTGAGGGACAGGTAGTTGTCTTCAATTCGTGTGAATAGCTATCCCAAGAGCCGAAAGTGCCGTGAGAATCAGACGAACAGATTGAGTGTTTGTTGCATCCAATGAGAAAAATCTCCAATTCTAATGATCCAAGAGTAGGGCTGGTTAACTTTTGAAGTTGCAATTGTTGGCCAGCTTGATCGTTTCTCCAAGTCATCGAACAATATTCCTAATTGCAGCTACTTGTGCACCTATGCACTAAATGGCTGCATTGCTCACGGCACTAGCGGACATTTTCAGACCTTTAGATTGAGCTACTGCATTATTCGGCGAGCGTTGTGTGTGCTGGAGATTTTGGACTGCCTGTACGAAAGTGGCAGCAGTATGCGTAGAAGGTGATTTGGAGGGTGCTCTGTGCTGCATATATCTTCAGGCGAAAAGTGACACATGGTACGGTATTATTGAAAGTAGTGTGGAAAACGACTTGACCATGTTCTCTGGATTCCTGTTGGACTAACCACGTAGTACAGGCGTCAACAGTGAAGTGAAAAGCACAATAAAGTGCAGGGTTGTCCACGTGGGGCGAGAGAGGTCAAGTGGTCAGAGCGCAAATTTACTGACCGGAAGGTTCGTGGTTCGAACCCAAAAGCTGTCTCTCGACCTCCTCTGTCTAGGCTTCGACAACCCGGTAATACCCCAGCCCTTATGCTTTCTTCTGTTGGCACAGCAGCTGGGCACCGGAAGGGTGTTATTACAGCTGGACGATTTTTTATGAACCACGAAAGTAAAAAAGTCGCCGTCCTCAAGCATCCTCCTGAACTTTCTGGATACTGACAAACTCTAGATGGGACAAACAGGAAGGAAACTTTTTACTAGAATTCATGAACACAAACTTGAAGCCATACACGAAGATCAAAATTGACACAACGTCAACTAGAGCAACTTTCAAGCATTGGCTCAGACGAGAAAAAAGGACAGAATGTGAATTCATAGAAGCATGGCCCTCCATTGAAAAAGCTATCGACATACAGTGAAATCTACCAGATCCACCGACCACTGTGAGCAGAAGAATTACGGAACAACAGAAGGCGAAGCCATATGACAAACCAGAATGACCCGACGTAGAACAGGAGGGCAAACCAAAACAAAAATCGAGGTGATTAGTCCACTCTCCCGGACAAGCATCGAAAGGAGAAACTGAAGAAAGAAAACAACTCACGCGCCACCAAGTCGACCAACTCGAGTAAGGAAAGACCACATCAAACGAGCAAGTGCAACCGCCTAAGCAAGCCCAAGAAAATGGGAATACGGCATAACCTAAGAAATGACCACTCATAGTGAAGAAAATGAACTTCCAAAAACAGAAATTACCATCGAAATGACCAACTGCAAAAAAGGAAGACCACAACGCAATATAGACCGGGTAAGGACTAATCGAAAACGGACCGGAAACATCCAGAAGAAGCTATTCAACCATCAGATGCAATAAGAAATTTACACAACGCAGTGCAACTCGTAAACAGGCCAGGAAAGGCATATA